CCAAAGCTGCTTGGTTTTCTCCCTAGAACAAAACCCCTAATTCATTTTCGGTGTAGGAGCATTGTGGAGTGAGATATTTCTCCAAGAAAGTTGCGAATTGTCGAGGAAAGTGGAGACATTAGTGGTTGTTTGCTTGATTGGTTGCTTGGAGGATATTCATTGGAGGCTTAAGCATTGATTTGTGGTAAGTTTCACCACCTATTGTGGATTAATTGTTGAGATCAAATTTTGAAAACTTAGAGCATGTGGTGTGTGATTGATATGGTAGGGGACCTCAAATTGAAAATGTGTATTAGATAAATATGTCTTAGAATGGTGTTTTATAATGATTGAGCTCATAAAAATTATTGAGAAAATGTTTGGTAACTTAGGCAAAATTGTTATGGAATTTCAAGACTTTTGTGAAATGGCATGATTGTAGGATTGTGTAATTGAGTTATGGAGTGTTTGTATGAGTTAATTATAGGATTGTATGATGTTTGGAAGTGTTGAAATGAATTAGAAATCCTTTGGTATGCATGCTCCTTGAATTCGGCCATGTGAGGGGTTGGATGATGTAAAATTCATGCAATTGGTATTTTGACGCTTGGAGCTAAGTTTAAATAGGTTGTATGTTGGTTTGATGTATGTGAATTGGAAGTGGAACCAATGGAGATGCCTAAGTGTAGAAATTGGCCTAAAGGAGGATAATTGGGAAAAATGGTGTTGAATGGTAATTGAATGAAATTGAGGACATAAATTGGTGTTGTGGTAAGCTTAGGAAGCTAGTTGAACCTTAAAATAAAATTAAGAACATGGTTTGGTATTTATAGGCCATTTGGCCGAACCTATGCATGAGTGGGTGGGCTTGTGGTGCTTTGTATTTTGATTGGTTGCACCATGGTATTGATGATCCTTGTGTGATCATTGTAGGTGGTCTCCTACAGACGTGAACTTGGAACGGTGAGCTTGGTGGGTTGCCTTTGGTCCTTAACCAAAGGAATTGTGGTAAGTGTCTATGTAAAAATTCATGAATGCTTGAGTAACCAAGTTGATGTGGTTATGTGGTTTTAATTGAAATGGGAATGACCTATGTGTAGGCATTTCTTATTGGACCAAGCTCGGAGGTATTTTGCTTTGGAGCTATCTAGAGAGGGAGCTTCCATCAGGAAATCCCTTGGTACTGGAGTTAGTCTCCATGTGTGCTCTGCCATGACCCTTGGGGGTAGTGGTTGGAGGTGTATGTTAATAATGTATTACAACATGTTCATGCATATATGTATATATAGTGGGTACATAGGATGTACCGTGTCTCTAGCCAGTAGACTGTTGCCTTTGGGCGTTACGAAATTCCACTGGATAGGTCTCCATGAGGGAGTTCCAGTTGACCTGGGGTCATGGGGTGTCATCCGTTGAGGAGCACTCTAGGAATGTCTCAGGTGTATATGGATGGAGGATGCCTTGGTTGATGTTCTGGGAATACTTCCTTGGATGAGAACCCGTAGGCTATATGCCGAGGCCAATAGGCCAGATGTTGCGTGGCTTTGGCATTGACCATTCCAGCTTTATCGTATTTTTACTCCATATGCATCCCTACTTCACTAAATCCCTTGCTTTATCCCTCTTTTGTTGTTGTAGTATATTGTTGATTTACATCTGAGTGAGCCATTGGGCGGAGTAATCTTCAGAATCTCTGGGTTACTGAGATATATTCGTATATTTCACCCCGTGTTGGAGCATTTATTTCAGGCATTAGTAGTGAGACTGGAGCTGTGGGCAAGAGGCTCATAGGATGAGCATTTGAGACTTGTGCACTTTTGCATTTTGAGGCCATTGTGGCATAGGCTAGACTTAGGGCATGAACATTGTATGTTGATTTAGGATTATGCATATTGTCATATTTGTTCATGCCATATTTTGTCTAAGTTTAGTTGATAAAGTACCTTGTTTTATTTTGAGGTTTATTTCATCGTATCTTGGGGAATTTATTTGTATTATGTTTCATTGGAGAAATGTAAATTGTAATTATTGGACCTTGTGTAATCTTGAAGCATGATGTATGACGAAAGGGCAATAGGTCTATTTTAAGTTATGATTATATCTATTTTTAAAGAATGCATGCAAATGGAACAAAGTGATTGAAATGGTTGAAGTTTTATAATGTAAGAAATGAAATGTAAAGTGAGCAATTCGATGTAAATTGTAATGGGTTGTAAGAGCACCAAGGCATTGCTGGTCCTTGAGTGCCACCCTTGTCTATTAGGTACCATTTGAGGATAATAACACACTTTTGATAAAGTGGGATAGGTTGAATAAACAAAAGAGATGCCGTCGAATTTTCTATAAAATGGCAGATTTTAGGTTAACTTTGGGAGAGCATATCTACCTCCACAGAGGTCCAATAGAGACGTTCCATACAAAATTTTGAAGTTTGTGAAGTCAAATATATTGTATCAAAATTTGGTATCCATTGGATTTGTACGCAGACCTGTAGATATGTTTGAATATGGACTGTCCAAAATGCCCTGTTGCAGGGGCTGTCGGGTACCATATTTTGGGAAAATTATTTATCCATCAATTCTTGGTCAAATTAGGCCCATGATATCTCAAATTGAAGCTTGAGGTGTGTAATTTACTGTATAAAAATTTGAGAGAAATTGGTGGTGTAGTTTGAGGTTGGCTGACAGCTTTGCTTGTCCAACTTCAAACGGTAATAACCAAAGCAAACGAGAACTTTAAGGAGCTTCTGATAGCTTGTTGGAAAGATAATTAAGTCTAGAATAACATTCTAAAAGATGGGAGGTTCATAGCATGCAGATCTCTCGTAATGTACAGAATACTGAACCTTGCTTAGATACGTGAAAACCGTAAAAGTGAGAATTATGCTAAGTAGGTTTATGGGAACCCCTTAGTGACTTGAGAGAAGCATTATATGATAGTTAGACATCATTTATAATTATTTCACGTTTAGATTTCAGTTATGATCACAGCTTTTACTCATTACGTTTTATTATTGTTTTAAATGCTCGCGTAATGAAAAGGAAAAAAGTTTACTCTCATTTTTATAAATGAACTGATGTGATTGTAACTGCGCTTAATATCATAATCAATGCTAACAATACCAGTGTACAACGAGCTGTTACATTTTACGGGAGTCATTTGGCTTCGGAGAGTCTTTGATTAGACTTCGTTCTTCTTGACCTTGTAAAAGGTCGTGGCTTAGAAATAAGTTGATATTTATTCGTTGTGAATAGTGACAGGAGCCATTTGGCTTCAGAGAGTTTGATTAGACTCCATGAGAATCTTAGGAACCTAGGGTAAGGTTTTGGGTTAATTATTGTATAAGGGTAGAACATGGTTTATCCTTGTACTTTGAATTAATCGATAGTGAATTTGTCTCCCAATTGGACAGAGGTATCCAAATTGGGGTCATAGGTTTTTTTCCTCCAATTTGAGTTTTTCCCACGTTAAAATAACTGTGTCACTTCATTCATTTACTCTTTATTTTATCGCAGTTATATGTTTTTTAAAATTCTAAAATTTTCAATAAACTAAATTCACCCTCTTTTGAGTTCATCCGGACCAACAAAAATAGTAAAAATAAGGACAATAATGTATCCCTCCAACCAAATGAAATTTTAAAATCCATTAAACCAGTAAAAAAGGACACGAAGTGGCTAACATAGGTAACTTGGGTATATCAATGATCCAAGCAATGGAAGTTCTTAATGGGATGGGGAGCACAGCCCCAAAGACCAAAAAAAATTGCTTGCGAAATGGCGAACTTGGGAATTTTGACAAAAATTCATCTGGAAATCATATTTTGATATCTGCAAACTAATGTCTTTACAAAGTTAGAGATGTCTATTTTCAGTAATTTTCATTTGCTAATGATTAGAAGATAAAAAAAGTGTCTCCAAAAAAGAAAAAAGATAAAGGTAACGACAAAATGTTTTAATTTGACTTGAGATTATCTGGGTTTTTTTCTCAAATTTCCTAATTCAATGCAACAAGCCAACAACACGACATTAAGTATTTTAATTTAAGATGTTTGGAAATATGTGGATTGGTTAGAACTCAAATTTGGATTTGGCTCCAATTGGTAATAATTTTCCTACTTTTATCTTCATAGAAATTCTGATTAAGGTCCATTACAAAGTGGTGGTTGATCTTGAAATGATAATATTAGGTTCTTGTAATCTTGTTGGCTATTGATTCTGGTGAAGAGGCATGATGCAACATGCTTACTAAAAGCTCGAGTCAGATGAACAAGAAGAATGTGGTGAGATTAAAGAAGCTATTTAGAAAGACAAATTATGGTCTCAGTCTAGGGTGAAAGAGGTCGTGAGAATGAGTTGAATCTTGTTCTATTAAACTGAGAAGGGTCTTTTTTGCCAGTGTTTTATTTGGGAAATTTTTGGGTCCACAAGAAGTATTTGGCCTTAATGTAACTCTTCATTGTGGCTTTTTTACTATAAATAGTAAATACTTAAAAAAATTTCAATTTTTCTGATAACTAGTACAGAAAAAAGATAACAACACGAAGTTCAGAACCACCATTTCCTAAGCAAATATTTTAAGTTAATAAATGTGTGTTGGTTTATTGAGAATTGGACATTGATATTTTAAAGTTTAAAATAATGACAACATTTAACTCACGCTGCTATTGACTGCATTAAATGATACTTTGAAAGAATTGAAGCCAATATGATTTTTTACATTTATTCAAGATCTTTCTTTAGAGTCTGAAAGGCACATCCAAAAAAGGGAATGGATGCTCTTTTTGGTGGTTGACATGTCTTTACATATCTATGGCCATTCCAAACGATTCTTTTCAGTGAAACTTCCCTTTTACCCAAGCACAATATCAAATCAATCACTATCTTCACTCTAGCCAGGTTAACTAGGAAATGGGCACTCTAGTAATTCAAGTTGGGTCTAGAATTTAGTTAGCCAGCATTCTGTACCTCTTGATCATGTTCCTCTGTCCCAGTGCAGATTTAGCCAGTCTATCTCTTATGGTCACCACAACTCCATTATCTCTCTCTCTTTCCCTTTCCATCTTTATCTTTCTACAAACTCGTATTTATCTCTTAAATATATTCACCATCAATACTCATATCCCCTTCAAAGTCATTACAACACCGAAAGGGGAGAATGGGCTACCCCAAACTTCCAAAAGTACTCTTGCTACTCTTGACCTTAATTCTTGCAGCTAAAGTTATACAAGGTCATAGTCATGTCATACTTTCTTATGAGTTCCAATGAATTATCCCCTGGTTCTTACCATGCTTTCTTCCATTCATTCCCCCACCCTTTTCGTTTCTTCTTATTATACTAAAATTTACTTTCAATTATATGTCATCCCAGAGATTCTATTAATGGTTTTCTTCATGTAGACTATTCCCAAGTTTCATAACATAATCACTTTTTCTCAGTTTTCTACCATGTTTGTGTATTTTGGCATTCAACTTTGTAGAGGGCTTATCCAGGCTCAGTTTCTTTGTGTCTATGAATTTTACTACCATTGGTTGCTGAAGAATGTATTTTCTATGTATCCTAAACTTATCATTCTAATGGTGCAGGAAATGAAACAGAAGGATTGGTATCTCAATCCTCCCAACCCCAAAGGGAACTGAGTTTGAAGGTTAGCCAAATACATAGATTATCTACTTGAATTGCTTTCTCTATTTTCCCTCTGCACATAAATTTATGCAGTAAATATGTGGTAATATCAGGATAGCAATGAGGCATGGACAATAAGGAATTCTAGGAGACTGATGATTGGTTCCACAGCACCAACTTGCACTTACAATGAATGTAGAGGCTGTAAATATAAGTGCAGAGCTGAGCAGGTTCCTGTAGAAGGAAATGACCCAATTAATAGCCCATACCACTACAGATGCGTTTGTCATAGATGATATATATGATAATCATTAATAGATTATAGCATGTTGTACTTTTGAGCTCTACTAGACTTGCAAAATTTTTGTATTTGCTATGTTGTCATTCAATTAGTAATAAAAAGCCTATTTGTTATGTTGTATTTTTTATTATTTCCATCGTTATGAGTGATTCTCTATGCTAACCTGCCATATCTTAACCTGATGCAACTATAGTCATTGTAAAAAAATATCAGAATTTTTCACTTTTCCCAATTGGCATATTATGTATGTAATTCCATTAAATTTATGTGTCTTCATATGCTTTCTTAGTTCAGTATTCGCATTTTGGAGGGAAAGGAGAAACCTTATGCTTATAACCCAGTTGAAATGCTTAAGGAAATGACTATGTCACAAGCAGAAGCATAGTGATTATGAGAAAAGCTGTGTTACCAAATTCAGATTCACAAGACAGAAAAATGTGTGAGATTCGCTGCAAGTTGGCACATGTAAGTGGTCCCAAATATTAGGCATAAGCGACCAAGAGCTCACATGGGTGATTTGTTTGAACTCTATTAATTTGCACAAAGTGGCAAAACTAAATTTGAAAAGAGCAGAGTATGCATATATGCAGGGAGGTCCCATTTTCTGTGTAAAGCATGCTAGCCACTGTAAACGTAAAAATATGTTGTTATGTGCTTGGCTTCATCTTAGCAGTTACATAGAATTGCATGTACTTTGAAAATCTTCAATATCAGTGCGTTCAATCCCATCAATTAAAACTGCACATTCCTGATATTAGACACAGGCATTTTATTTATGGGGTTGTCTAATTTTATGTCGTTGGATACAAGTGGCTTTCCTGGGGAGACATTCTCAAGGGCCCACATGAAGAAAAGAAAAAATTCATGGCTCAAATTTAAAAAAATCTATGACAGGAGGTAATGCATTTCCTGCAATAAGGCAAAAGCATTACCCTTTATTTACTGCACCAATATTTAAACAAATTATAATAAAAAATTATTAATTCTTTATTTGTTATTGTAAAGAATCATTTCAATCCAAAAATTTAAGCTAATAAGTGATGACCCAATCAATTGTTTTTTATATTATATTTATATTATATTTCTCTACCACATCTCCTTACACAAAAGTCTCTTATCCTTAAAGCGTGAATATTGTGCAAACCTGCTTTATTTAGTTTTAACTTGTGCTAACTTAATTCTACTAAAAAATAAGGACCGTAAGGATCGAATTCGTGATTTCGTATCCTCAGAAGACTCTAATACAATATAAAAAACTATTTCAGCTAAAAATTTAAAGCTATTAAGTGAAGGTCAATCAAAAATTTTATATTATGTCTCTCTTACGGCTATATTGTTGTAATGGGCCCATGTGAAGGATCAGGCCCACTTCAAGACTCGAAAGAGAACACCAAACGGAAGCGCAGACAACCTAGCTATCTAAAGGAGTACGAGAACAGTTAAAAACGTTATTGGGCTTTAAATAATTTCTAATGTTGCATTGTTAATTGAAAGACTCTTTTAGTTTATGTGCTTTGTAATTAAATAGGTGGCCCAATGGGAATAGGGCACTATACGATGACTTAGCAGTTAGTTGAATGCAAGCAGAATTTGGTTCATTTCTCTCTCTATTCTCTCTCTCTCTCTCTTCCCGATATCACTCTCTCCCTCTATTTCTTCTCTCTCCCTTTCTGAGATCTGAATTTGAGCGTTACATTTGGTGCTCTTGTTGAGAGTCGAACTCAAGACTCGGAAGAGAACACCAAACGGAAGCGCAGATAGCCCAGCTATCTAAAGGAGTATGAGACCAGTTAAAAACGTTATTAGGCTTTAAATAATTTCTATTGTTGCATTGTTAATTGAAAGACTCTTTTAGTTTCTGTGCTTTGTAATTAAATAGGTGGCCCAATGAGAATAGGCACTATACGATGACTTAGCAGTTAGTTGAATACAAGTAGAATTTGGTTCATTTCTCTCTCTATTCTCTCTCTCTCTCTTCCCGATCTCACTCTCTCCCTCTATTTCTTCTCTCTCCCTTTCTGAGATCTGAATTTGAGCGTTACATTTGGTGCTCTCGTTGAGAGTCGAACTCAAGACTCGGAAGAGAACACCAAACGGAAGCGCAGACAACCCAACTATCTAAAGGAGTATGAGACCAGTTAAAAACGTTATTAGGCTTTAAATAATTTCTATTGTTGCATTGTTAATTGAGAGACTCTTTTAGTTTCTGTGCTTTGTAATTAAATACGTGGCCAATGGGAATAGGGCACTATATGATCGTTAGTTGAATGCAAGCAGAATTTGGTTCATTTCTCTCTCTGTCTTCTCGATCTCACTCTCTCCCTCTATTTCTTCTCTCTCCCTTTCTGACATCTGAATTTGAGCGTTACACTTGTAAACTTACCATAAATGATATTCGATTTGCCTACACATTATGGTAATAGAGATTATTTCTGAGAGGTAGCATTTGAATGAAAACTAATACGATTGACTGACATGAAAGAAGTATTTCATACCTAAGAACTTAGGTGATGCTTTCAGAACAAGGACATCAAGAACAGAATGATGAGGCCTTGTTCATATGAAAAATTTTAGGAGGTTAGACGTGCGTAGAGATAAGACACTTAGACACGCTTAGGAAGACGAGATGGATGTGGAAAGGGAATGGGGAATTTCTATCTGTTTCTTTATAAATATTCAAAATTTCAGTAGAATCCTATCTATTACAGAAATAGATATAATTTTTTTTTATAATAAGGTCACGTATAATTTTAATATAAGAACATACAATGACAGTGAAAGGATAACCCAAATGGAGGAACGTCCCCGGTAGGATGTTCGAGAACTCCTGAATTCTCATGCTTAATTTATTGGAAAACAATTTAAATAATAACAAAAGATAAAGAAAATTAGGATGAATGTTATTCCAACTTAATTAGAAACTTCCACTTACGAATATACTATTGTGTAAAAAATTAAATAGAAAGAATTTTGCCTTCCTAGAAATTTTTAGGCTCAAAGCAGATTAATCCAATAAAACCATCAGCCACTTAACTGAAACTCACGCAGCAAGTGTCAATTAGTGTAGAAATAAGGCGCGAAAGCTAAAGCAAAAGCAATAAAAAATGGTTCAGCGAGTCAGAAAATTTGCCATCTACGATAAATGTAGTGAAATGTTATAGATAGCTACTAGTTATGAAACCTCAAGTATATGTTCACCAAAAAGGTATAAAAAAATGCTTGTGATTATTCAAGTTACCGGAAGAGTAGAGAGCCAAAATGACATTACAGCTCCTATTACGTCCGAAAGGGGTTGTGGTGTAAAGCGGCGGAATGGTCAAAAACGGCAGGAGTTTTCCCGTCTTAACCCTTACATTCTTCTGGGATATTAACCATATTGCCACCCCTTTAATAAAAAGTTACTTGATTGCCACACTTGAAATTTTTTTTGTCAAAATGCCACATCACAATCTCGCTAGTCTGACAAGTGGGAATGGACTGGACACGTGTCAGTGTCTGAATGGTCAACCATTATCGCTGGACTGCCCAGCTAGAATGACAGAATGCTGACACGTGGCAAAAGTACAGACACCCAGAGAATGCCTGTACTTTTGCCACGTGTCAACATTCTGTCATTCTAGCTGGGCAGTCCAGCGAGAATAGTTCACCATTCAGACGCTTACACGTGTCCAATCCATTCCCGTTTGTCAGACCAGCGAGATTGTGATGTGGCATTTTGGCAAAAAAAAATTCAGACATGGCAATAAGGTAAATTTTTGCCTAATAAGTGGCAATATGATCATTGTCTCCATTCTTCTTTTTTAACACTCACCCTTATAATTCCATTGTACGACTATGCCTTTATGAGCTTTGTTTTAAGCGGTCAACTTTCTTGAATGGGCTCTACTGGCCTTGTGTTGTTTTTGAAACCCCATGCTTCCTTCAATAGATGTTGGACTGCTTCTTTATCTAGTGAGATTTGTGATTACATTTACCAAAAAAAATAAAAAATAAAAAACTCTAAAAGTGAATTAATGGTGATAAGAGAACGGATAAAAAAATATTTGAGATAAATAATTATAAAATCATCATTATTGATTTACTTTTATATTGTTAAGATTCTTATATAATATGTTTATGTTAAATAACATATGAGATGATATATTTTCATATTTGATAAATCTCCACAAGAGATCTATCTAAATTGTTAAGAAAGACGTTTGGTGAAAAAATTTATTTTTGTGCCCTGAAATATTATGTTATAGTATTACTTTTTGCAAATATGCTGCAACATCATCCACTTTCCTTTCTTCCGGTCGAACCTTAACTGATTGTGTTGTTTTATTAAACACAAGAGAAGCTACAACAAACGGAGCAAGGACACACAAAAATCAAAGAGCCACTCTAAAGAAAAGAAAAGCAGTAAAAAGACAAAGGAAGAGAGAGACGAATCCCTATGAATTTTCCATGCAAGGCGCAGGCAATAACGACACCCACACGCGCTAAAGGTCCAAGAGAGTAGGGAAGCATATTCTCTCTCCAAAAAGAAAAAGCTATTAGAAGTACGAACCAACCACCACCCCTATTCTCTTCTGGTACGACTTCCATCACCATTGGAATGGATGAAAAACAACTTTCCTCATCCTTTTGAGCTTAAGAGAGAAAGGGACAGCTTGAGAAGATGAGTGTGTCGCACAAGCTTATAAAAGCTGTAAAAAACAAAGAGGAGAAGTGAACTAGTCCAAGAATCATTTCAAAAAGTATTTTCAAGGAGAAGATCAAGGAGGCTGCTTGGTCTGTCTTAGTCCATGTACATAGATAAAGTGCTAAACATGTTTAGCATGGAAGTGTCAAAAAGGGAGTTTTCTTCGCATGCGACATGACATACTTATCTCCAAGGCTATGTGTTCTAAGACACAACAAGAAAAAGATCGCATGCGTCAGATACCATACACTTCGGCTATTGCATCTGTCATGTATGTCATGCTATGTACAAGATCGAATGTTTTGTATATTTGAGCATCACGAGCAGGTACCATAGTGGCTTCTAAAGTAGTTAAAGAGGCAGTCTAGATCAAGAAATTCAATTCTGAACTGGGGGTTGTTCCAAGTATAGTTGACTTGATATAGTTGTATTGCGACAACAATGGGGCTA